CCCCTAGCTGCCCTGTTGCTTCTCCTTTCTGTGGGTCCTTATATTTTTCAGAGGATTATGACACTCATTAATAACCGGATAGACGAGTTTATGGCAAAGCCCATTAAGGTACACTATCACCAGCTGGAGATGGCAGATCAACAAACCTACCAGGAAAGAAATTCCCATGAGTGGCCCATATGACGATGCAGCCTAGCTGCCCTGGGGCAATGGACAGGCAGGCAGAGACGGGCAACTAGGACATACATGTTACACCATCGGCTGCCTAAGACAGGCACAGGACCAACTGCTGTCCTGCAAGCCCATGACGGGTAAGGCCCGGTTGGGTTCATGTAATGAGGTCCTTGACCTAAGACAGGCGCTGTCCTCACAAGGCCTGCCATACTCCTAATTAAATAATATAGCTTTCTATATTATTTAATATAGGGAAGATGTAGGGAGCGGCGTGACAGCCCCATTGCTGCCTCCATGCCTCTCTCTCCTATGGGCACATAATGCGCCTGCCTACATTACCCATAATCCTCTCCTGCTTATGTTGCATACCCGGACGTGACAATGACCCATCAGAAACCACCCCGTAGCCTCTTCCTGTCCCACTAGCCTGCTCTTGGCCCATAAAAGCTGCAACCTCTTCCTGAATAAATGAGACTTGATTGGACTCCTCAACTTGTCTCCATCTCTCTTTGTCTCCCACCCTGTTCTTTATCATCCCCATTCCTCCTCCAGGTACACCCCACGGATTGATCTGCGGGCCAGATCACCTGGGAGGTCGAGACCTTTTTCTTTTTGCATAATCTCCCTTAGGTTTTCCATTCTAATTGCTGTTTACTTGGGGGCCTTACTTGCTGGGAGATCTAACTAAACCAGGGTTCACAGTGGACAGAGCTGCTGGAGTTGGTAAGAAGTGAATTTGCGATCCATAAGTAAATCCCAGATTTGTAGGCTGGGTTACAAATGGAATCAAGGCCGACTCGTAAATAGGAAGATATGCACGAGTTCTCCACAGTTTTAAAATCCATCAAATAGTCATCCATTCTCTCACTCATTCACAAATACCTAGTGCCTATGACATATCACCTCCTGGGTCTTGCTCAGAGCACTGGAGATGTAAGAGAAGATAAGGTAAAGACCTGGCTGCAGAAGGTACAGTCAACAGAGGGGGACACGGGTGAAGAATCCATGCTGAGATGGAAAACGAAGCCAAACGGGGGTTTAGTGAATTGACAAGAAGAGACTCTCCAGGAGCATCTAGAAATTAGAAAAATAAAAATTCTAGCATTGGAGAAGGAAATGACTGACATAAAAAATTCATTAGAGGAACTCAGCTTTAGACCCAAAATGGCAGAAGAAAAGGAGTGAACTTAAAGATAGAAAAATAAAAACTACCCAGTTTAAAGAGGAAAACTATCAAAGCCTCAGAGACCTGTAGGATCCCCATATATGGACACACAGGAGAACTAGAGAAAGGCACAATGGTTGATATCTATAATCCCAGCCCTCGGGGGAGGAGGGTGCTGAGGCAGGAAGATCAATAAATCAAAGGTAGCCTGAGCTACAGAACAAGTTTCAGACCAGCCTGGACTCTGCGGAGCAGATTCCTGCCTAAAAGCAAAGACCAATCTACCCCAGGACACAGCACAGGCCCAGGAGAGAACCGAGAGTGTGGAGCCGACTTCCCTTCAGAAAGGACGGGGAACGGAAGAAGCGGAACCATCTATTCCACGTCTGAAGACAAGAAAAAAACTGTCAACCGAGACTTTCGGTTGACAGCAGAAAGCAGCAGAAAGGATTTAATACAGGTGAAAGTTAAAATCAGTAAAATAGAAGGCAGAAAAGGAATAGAGAAAATTCAAAAGCCTGGTCATGTGAGAAAGCCACAGAATCAAAACAGCTGTTAGTAATTAACCACGGAAAGCAAGAGGAAGAAAGAGAGGACATGAACTGCTGAAATCCAGAAGGAAAGCGGGCACAGCACCACCAGCCACACACAAGCTAAAAGCATTACAAAAGCCTACGATAAACACTTCACATCTGACCGATTTGGCAACCTTCATGAAAAGTGACAGATTTTTTTAAAAAGACAGAAATTACTGAAACTGACTAGAGAAAAAACAGAACACCTGAACAAGTCCAGTGCAAATAAACTGAAAAACTAGCTTAAACGTACACACGCATACGCGCACACGCACACACGCGGCCTCAGGCCCAGACAGCTTCACAGGTAACACAAATAGAGAAAATAACCGCAACCCGCATGAACTCCTCCCGTAAATACAGAAGCGAGCACTTTTTAGCTCATTCTCTGAAGCCAGCCTTTCCCTGATGCCAAGTAAGACCAAAGCCAGTAGCCTTCATTGGCTTGCACAGACACAAAGTTTTTGCCAAAGATTATCAAACTAAATATTGTAACAAATAGCATTATACACCATGATCAGGAAGGATTTACCAAGGAATGCAAAGTTGGTTTAACATCTAAAAATCAATCGGTATATAATATTGATAGAATAAAAGACATGGAGGAAACCCACAAGACTACAGCGGTAGAAGCACAAGAGCAGTTAGCAAAATCCCACCCTCACTTGAGATTTAAAACAAGCAGGAAAACAGACCGATAGAGGGCGTCCACTAAGAGCCCACAGCCTGGATGAAAGGTGGGGTTCCCCTTCTAGGGCAGCAAGGTGAGCCCACCCACCTCCGCCACTTGGACTCAACACTGTACGATGATGGGCCCAGCTGGCGCTGGTGGGGAGAAGGAGGAGAGGGAGGGAGAGATTAAGCATCCAGCTTGGAAAATGCGGAGGAAAAATACCTTTATTTGCAGGTGGCAAGATATCAAGGAATCCACACTAAAATCTGGAATGAATCAAAGATGTAACAAGCCCGGCTTGGGGGCACACGCCTGTAATCCCAGCACTCAGGAGGCTGAGGCAGGAGGATTGTTGGCAAGTTCAGGACCAGCCTGAGCTACAAAGTGAGCTCAAAACCAGCCAGAACTACAGCAAGACCCTGTCTTAAAAAGACAAAAAAAGAAAACAAACAAACAAACCAAAACCAATGTACAAATATCTGTTTTGTTTCTATATTCTCATACCTAACTAAAACTGAAATAAGAAAACAATTGCATTCACATCTTAGAAACTTAGAAATAAGCAAATTAATAAAAGAATTTATATATTAAAAACTATAAAGCACTGTCAAAAAAATTAAAGGTTTATATAAATGAGAGACATTTTGTTTTCAGAGATGAAATTCTTCCCCAAACTGATCAGTAAATTAAATATGATCTTCAATAAAATGTCAGTAGGCTTTTTTTTTTTTTAATTTCCAGACCAATTCCTTTTTTAAAATTGCATTTTTAGGCAGAGTCTTGCTAAGTTGCCCGGGCTGGCTTCGAACCTCCAGCCCTCCTGCCTCAGCCTCCCAAGTGGCAGGATTACAGAAAAACATGTTACTGTGCCTGGCACTGATCCTAAGATTTATATGGATATGCAAGGATCTAGAATATTCAAACAGTTTTGAAATAAAACGACACAGCCAGAGAGCTTACTGTATAGTGTGCAAGTTCAAAGCTTACTAGAAAGTTACCGTCATGGAGACAACGCAGAATTCACATAAGATAGAGAAACAGTGTAGTGGAACAGAACTGAGATTCTGGAAAGAAATCTTTTTGTTTAGGGTCAGCTGATTTATGAACAGAGTTGCCCAGATGACCTGAGGCAGAAGGGACAATCTTTTCAGCACAAATCCTAAAAGCCTGTGTATGCCGAGCAACCGGGTGGGACAGGTCCTGCTCCACACGGGTGGTATGAGAGGAGCCAGGCTCCAAAACATGAAATTCCCTGAAATTCCACAGCTTCCCAGTGCTGGGAAGGAACAGGGTCAACAGGAAGCCAACCCAAGTTCCATCTCAGGGCAAGTGACAGACGTGTCCTAAGCTGAGTTCCGGCGAGCTGCACACACAGGGTGGGTGGACTTCAGGCAAGGAAATGACGCTGCCATGAAAGCAGCGGGGGGAGAAGAAGGGACAGAGGCCAGGAGGAGGCCACTGCCCCATCCAGATGCTCTTCCCCAGTCAGCTGTGTTCCCCATCCAGAGGTCAGCCCTGGTTCGGGGCTGGGGCGTGAGTGGAGGGAGGGCCCACTGGGGACACAGACTACAAACCTGAGTGGTCAGCAGGTCCACCCTGGACTAGACACAGGGCATACAGCAAGGGAGGTCGGGGACAACAGGACATCCTTCCAGGCTGGGCATCCAGGGAAAGTCAAGCCAGCCCTGCCCTGGAGCTTGAAGGGGGAGTGGGACCTCAGAGAAGGCAGTGTTTTCAGGACGGCCGTCAGGCGTTTCTTGGGCAACCTAGATGCTAACAGTGTTCATTTCCCACAAACACAGACCAAAAGAAACTAAGGAATATTTTTAAAATTAATGCATTTGCTGCATCCTATCCACAAGATAACTTTAATCACCTACAACTTCCATTGTGAACATATGAAAAAAATTTTCACTCCCTTTATTTCCAGCTCCAACATGGTAGAAAAACAAATTGGGGTCTGTTATACACAACAGGCATACATCAGACAGGCATTAAATTAAATGTCTTGCTCAGCACTTAGGAGGCTGGACCAGGAGGACCTCTGTGAGTTCAAAGCCAGCCTGGGCTGCAAACTGAGTTCTAAATAAATAAATAAAACTAAAAGTAAAGTGTGAAAATAGAATGTCTGGCCTGGTTTTCCTTTGATTGGATTGGATTTGAAAATTGTGATGGATTCCATCATTTTAAATGTCTCACCTAGCTGGCTATGGTGCTGCACTCCTGTAATCCCAGCACCTAGGAGGCTGAGTCAGGAGGGTCATTGCAAGTTTGAGACCAGTCTAGGCTACAAAGTGAGCCTAAGGTCAGCCTGAACTGCATAGAGAGACCCTGTCTCAGAAAGACCAAAAAACCAAGTCTTACCCGTATTGCTCATCCCATGTCATAAGAACAGTATATGTTGCTTTCTTACTTCGAATGGCAGCTCAGTCAGTTCCAGGTTCCCGGAGCAGTCCAGTCTCTCCAGACGCGTGCAGTCCCCCAGCTCGGCAGGAACGCTTGTCAAGTGGTTGAAACTCACATTGAGCTCTCTCAGGTTCTTCAGACGACCTGGCAGCGGAAAAACGGTCACCTCCACTGAGCACAGCCTTCCAGGTCTTTTAAGAACAAGAACAAAACTAAGAGGTCAGCCAGACGCATGCACTTAAATCCCAAGCAGGCTGCTTACAGGGGTGGGGGGCACCAGCTGACCACATGTCTCCAGATTGTGTCTGCCCTAACCTGGCTGTGCCATTCAGGAGTGGGCAGCAGTCACCCCACAGACAGGAAGAGAGAACCCTGCGAACCACAGGAGGCGGCTGGGTTGACCGGGAAACAGTGAGTCCAGATTCCAATTCTCTGTCTCTCAGTCTGTCTGTCTGTCTCTCTTTCCCTCTCTGTCTCTCTGTCTCTTTCTCTCTGTCTCTCTCTGTCTCTCTCTGTCTCTCTGTCTCTCTGTCTCTCTGTCTCTGTCTCTGTCTCTCTCCCTCAGTATTTTTCAAATAATTTTTTTTTTAGGAGGGACCAGGAATCAAACTCACGACCTGCACTTGCCAGGCAGGTACTTTTGCCACTGAGCTAAATCCCTGACCCCTTTTTTGGGTATTTTTGAAACAGAGTCTCACTATGCAGTTCAGGCTGGCCTTGGGCTCACTCTGTAGCCCAAGCTGGTTTCAAATTTGCAATGATCCTCCTGCCTCAGCCTCCCAAGTGCTGGGATTGTAGGCATGGGCCACCACACCCAGCCACTTGATTCTGACTTTTGACTGACTATGCACACACGTTTCCAAACTAGAAACCAACACAAGAGCAGACACAGAGTACTATATTGTGCCACGGGTGCTCTAAGAATTTGAATGCTGAACCATGCTCAAATTAACTTTAAATTAGAAAACCACAATTATGCTTGGCTGTTGCAGAGGAAACACCCAATATACAAATCTCTTGCTATTTTATAAACAAGAAACTAAAGAGCTCAGATACAGTGACCGGGAGAGGCCACTTCTGATCAGCCTTCCTGGTTCTCGTGATAGAACTTAGCACTAGTGACACTGACACCAGGAGCCTGCTGACCAGCCACCTGGCGCCCTGCAAGCCTCCTCACCAGAACAACAGCAGGAGCAGAGGGTGCGGGAAACCAGGGAGCCGCTCCCAGCGGGCCAAGGCTCACCCGATGGTTTCCATGGCTCTGCTCCTCCCGAGGTGTGTGCCACAGCATCTGCCCTCTATGTAAGTAAGGCCAGGAGAGTGGGCAGAGGCGGCAAAGCGAAGGACTCAGCCAGAAACTGGGCGCCCAAAATGAGTGGTCAGTTCCCAGATGCCATGTGCAGAAGACCGATAAATACACAAAAAAAATTTGCCAGCTCTGGCCACTAGACAAAAGCAAATTAAAACAACACTGAGGCTCCATCTTACCCAGACAGAACAGCCACCATTAAGAAGTTAAATAACAAACGCTGGAGAGGCTGCAGGGGGACAGAGAACCCTCTGCACTGTGGGTGGGAGCTCATCTGGTACAGCCTCCATGGAAATCTGGAGGAAGAGCCTTCAAGACACTAAAACCAATCCGACTCACATTTGTGAATACATTATTGTCTCCCTGGGGTAAAATATAATAATAATAATAATAAACTGAAAGAGTAATAAGATCCAAAATACACAACTGATAACTGTAATAATAAAAGGGAAAGAAAGTGCACTAAAGGACAGACTAATTGGGAATGGGGAAAGGAGAAAAGGAAGAAAGAAAACAATTCTCCCTATGTAGGTGTACACATATAACTGTATGTATGTGTATGTGTGCAAGACGGTAACTGTACTAATTCTGTGAACTCTTCAAAAAGAACAGTTCATGCTGTCCTTGTTTGATTGTTTGATCATTTTTTATGCCTAGATCTTGTAACCTGAACAACTACTTCTAAGACAACAATGCGCAATATATTAACCAGTGTCAATTTCTTACTATTTTTATTGAAATTCTATATTATTTCTATCCTTTTTTGTTTTGCTTTTTTTAAAATAAAAAAACTTAAAAGAAAAAGAATAAAAAATAAAATAAAAAATTTTTTAAAAATTAAAAAAATAAAATGTAACGTCAGGCACACAAGCTAGAAATCCCATTATCCTAGCCATTCCCCCTGTAGGCTTCTTCCCAGGGAGTCAGAGACCTCATATTACAGGGATCTATAAATAGCCGTGTTTACAGCAGCACAGCTCATAATAGCCAAATCTCAGAAGCGGCCTCTACGCGGATCACCAGATGCATGCACACACTGTCATGTTTACACTGACGGACCAGGTGCTGTGCTCTAAGGAAGAATAACAGTCGTAGGAAGATGGGTGCCTACTGGCCCTAAATGTAAGTGAAATAAATCAGGGCACAAGCATGGTTCCTCTTATATGAGAAAGCCAATGTATAAATAGATTAAAGAATAAAATAAAAGACAACAGGAAACAGGAGGTGGATTTTTTTGCAAAAGAGAAGACAAGAGATGGAGGGAGGAGGATGGAAGAGGGAGAAGAAGGTAAGAACTGAGAAGCCAGGCATGGTGGCGCACACCTGCTGTCCCAGCACTCGGGAGGCTGAGGCAGGAGGATTGCTGTGAGTTTGAAGCCAGCCTGGACTGCAGAGTGAAATGCTGCCCCCCCCAAAAAAAGAAGTGAGAGTTTTATCAGTCTCCACAATGAATGCAAACACAGACAAATGAAACAAGGACAGCCTCAGACTGATCTCTAGATTCAATATACTCCTTATCAAAATTCCAGGAAGCTTTTTATAGAAATGGACAAACAGATCCCAGCACTCGAATGCAGTGCCAAGGTGCCTAGCTGGCTAGGACGCAACCCATGGGACTGTTTGTTCTGCTGTCCCGAGGATGGGGTGGAAGGGACAAGTGTCACTCTGGACACACAGAATTCCTGTAAACCAAGCACCTCCCGGGCTGAGGGACAGAGCGTCTGTGATCTGCCGTGACCTCGGGGCCTCCACTGGAAGCCTGGGACAGCTCTGAGGACAGACGCCTGCAGAAGGTGACCAGAGAGAAGACTCGGTCATCTGAGCTTTGAGACAGGAGAACCATGAGCTCAGTTTGCCCTTCTCCTCTCAGCTGGGGCTGCCTGCTCATCCGACCCATGCCTGGACCCGCCCACCTCTGCCACCTGTCTGGCTCCCAGGGTGACACGTGCCATCACTCTGCAGGCCCACTGGAGCCAGGAAAGATAGGAGGAATCAACCAAAAATAATCAGCCTTGTGGTGGCCACATCACTGACTGACCGTGTCACCTGGACACACATGCGGTCATAAAGTCTCCCCAGTCCAGTCTCCTCTGCTAGAAAAGCCGAGCACCCAGAGAGCCAAGCAGGCATTCAGTGTGATGGGAGATGTCCTACCCTGGTGGCCTGGTTGCAGTTGATACACTGTGTCAGCTTGAGCAGTTTAGAAGTTTAACAAAGGCTAGGGGCTGGGGATTTAGCTCAGCGGCCTTGCAAGCAGGCAGTCGTGAGTTCGATCTCTGGTACCTATAAAAATAAAAAAGTTTAACAAAGGCTCATCAGGGAGCCAGGAGAAGGGCACACAGATCATGTGAGTGCCACACCACCCTAGAGGGCAGGGGTAGGCGTGGCCTGCAAACAATATAAGGGAGGAGAAGAGACTCGTTTGCCCCTTTTGCTCCTGCTGCTTTTGCTAGCTGCTGCCTTGAAGTGCTGCCCCAGTGGCATGCCACCCTGCCTTGGAGCCAGCCGACTGTGGACTGAAACCTCCACAAACTGTGAGCTACATAAATCTTTCCTTCCTTCATTTTGGGCATCGGGTATTTTGTTCCAGCAACCAGAGAAAAGTAACCAAGACAGCCTCATGCCCAGGACTTGTTCGGCCACACCCACCCTGTGTGGGGAAGTAACTTGGGTGCTTTCCCACTTGGGTGGGCCACCTGGCCCTGGCAACAGCTTCCTGTGTCAAGTGCCCTGGGACCCTGAAGGAAAGAAGGCTGCTGGAAAGAGGAGAGGAGGAGACCAAGCCCTGAGAGCATCTGGGCCTCCCCACTTAAATAAATAAAGCGCTCTGGTCCCCACTTTGTAGACAAGGAGATGGAAGAGCAGAGAGCTTAGTAGAGTACCCCAAATTGCACACGCAGTCCTCCCTCAGGTACTCGAGCAACCTCTCTGCCCCACCCACGCCCCTTAGGGAAAGAACCATCATTCCACCCGCAGGGCATCAAGGCAGCTCGGTTCAGAGACTAACAAAGATAAGCAGAGTCCAAAATCAGAGACAACCATGTCAATGGGTGGGGGGATGGGGGGCCGTGATGGCCCAGAGCTCAGTGCCCCACCCACCTCACCTTGGACACCGGATGACAAGGATGCCTGCGTTGGGCTCAGCGACGCGCTTCTCAGGTGCTTAAGGATTTTCCAGGGGACCCAGTCCTGAGAAACTGCACTGGCTACTCACATTCAAAATGACCTGGTAACAGTCGGCTCTGGCTTCCGGCCCCAGCTGCCAAGGTGTCCTTAACAGTGGTGGCTGCCTCAGCCAGTGTCAGGGAACCTGCTGTCCCCGATCCGTGTGGCCCCCACTATGTCCAAGATGACACTTGGCAGGGAATTCTAGGGTCCTCTTCACCTTTCCCAACACCGCACCGGGCAAGGACACAGGGCAGTTACCAGGTCTGGGCCACACTTATCCTCCCACCACCGGCCCGCAAGTGGCCTGTTCCTGCCAATAGTTAAGACTCCCTCCCATTAGGGCAGCATATTGGTCAAGTCCACTGGGGGATACAGGTGGCCTGCGGGATGCTGTCCACAGGTGCATCACACCCAAGGGACAACTCAGCTGGGGGGCCCACTGCTTTCACAGCAAGCAGCAAGGAGCTGTCAGCTGTCGCCGCAGGGTTGGCAGCCGCATAAACAGCTCCGATACCACCCAAGTCCGTGTGAGCCGGGCAGCCCAGGCTCCGCACCCAGTAAGGCATGAACAAAGGCCAGAGCCCACACTGCCTGGGCTTCCGCTACCTCTTCCACCACTTCCCGGGTCCTGGGGCATCCCTAGACCTTTGGTCCTCACACCCCAAGAAAAAGACAGGCAACCATGGTCACAGCAATCTTATCTTAAAATGACAGAACTCAACAGTGAAATGATGGAGAGACATAGACTTCTAAGTAATCAGAGAGACATAATGCACACCTGTGATCCCAGCCCTCAGAAGGCTGAGGCAGGAGGATCGTTTCCAGTTCGAGACCAGCCTGGGCTACTTAGTGAGTTCAAGGCCAGCCTGAACTATATAATGAGACCCTGTCTCAAAAAAAACAACAAAAAAAATAAATAAATAAATAAAAATAAACAGAAGAAGGAGGGAGAAGAGGAGGAAGAAAAGAGAAGGAGGAGGAGAAGGAAAAGAAAAAAGTCTAGAATAAAGGCTGCCTGAGTTTCAGTCACAGCAAACAACAATCACTGTAAGTTAAACTAAAGTAATGGACCACAGTACACATACAATAGATGCGTTCTGTGCTTACACTAATACATTAAAAGAAAATAAGCCAAAGGCTTCTAACCAGAGCATTCTCACTAGAGGCTTCTAGCTCTGCACAACTGGCAAAGGTTTACTACAGGTCTGAGGGATATAGTATGGAAGCCCAAAGGGGACACTGCAAGCAAGCAGCTCAGAATTCGGAACTCGCCCTTCCTGGCAAATCCCATGGTAACGGGAGGAAGAAACTTGCGATTTGCGATCACCTGCCCAGCCACTGCCTGCTTATCCCAGCCGAGGGGCTGCAGGTCCCTGCTAGCTCACATACCAATTTCAGCTGGAAGATGCGATATTTGGTTTTTTGGCAGATCCAGGATTCTCATGGCCTCAAACAGCTCGATGTAGGTAGGAATGAGCTGAATCAGCGTGTTGCTTATGTGCCACTCCTCCAGGTGTGTCTGCTCCTTCAGCGAATCGGGGAGCTCCTGCCATGGGACAGATCGCAGCAGTCAGAGCAGCTCCTGGGGCGACCACACATTTTATTTCAGAAAACTAGAGCAGGACAGCAAATTTGACTGTGTCAGACTTCGCTGCTGGCCACTGGAGAAGAAAATAGACACCACAGGCCTCACCAGTCTCAGGAGCAATAAGCCCCACTGCTGACACCTGATAGTGTTTAATCAAATCCCATGAGCACAGAAAGTCAGTGTTGGGGTCCCAACCCAGGCCCCACAGTTTCTTGGGTTCACCGTGTCCTCAGGCCTGGCATGGAGACAGGAGGGAAGGGTCCAGTGCCTCCATGAGGCATTTTATTTTTTTCCAGCTGTGGCTACACCAGCTGCCCAGTGGGGGATAGCCCCGGCGAGCCGGGGTAGCAGAGGCTGCCACTGAGCTGGAGCTGAAGGCCCCCGTGATGAAGGACAATGGAGGACTGCTAGGACCTGCAATCTGGGGTCCTAACAGGGTCCTGGCCTGCTGGGCCTGAGCCGCAAAGAAGGCTGCCGAGATTAAGAGCTGAGAGCTGCCGGCAGCTCCTCACGCTACAAGCACTGCACTCTGCCTGGTTGTGATTTCTGTATAAACTGAGCAGCAGACCCCTCTGCACTGGTGATGGTCTCTGAAGTGACAGGGCCGGATGCGATGGTGTCCAAGGCCGCCCCTCACCCGGGCGCTCTGGGCTGAGATTGCGGAGGCCCTGAGAAGCCCTACAAGACTGCAGGGAGCTGTGTGTGCGATTCCCAAACCCAACACAGGGAGGGGTGCAGGGGGCCTGGCCTCTTACGGCTGCGTGAGACATCCCCTCGGCAAAGCATGGGCACGGCACAGCGGGACACCTGTGTCCCAGGCACGGGGGTCCCAAGGCAGGAGCAGCAGGAAGTCCACTGTGACCCTTTGATTTAGTGCTGGCTACTTCTACAAGGCTTCCTGGTCATCGCTGGGGGTGACGATTAGGCCTTTAACCTGTGGGAGTCCCTGCACCCCAGGATCATCACACAGCAGTGCCTGGGACAGGCTAGGGTGCCATGATGAAGGCCCATTCAAAAGAGGGAAACAAGCCCGAAATGCCTACAGGAATCACTTACACTAAGGACTGGCTGGGTCCTTCACAGGGCCTGGTGCAAAATGAAAATTGAGCCCTTGTTTAAAATTCCAGTATTGTGAGCTGGGTATAATGGCTCACACCTGTAATCCCAGCACTCGGGAGGCTGAGGCAGGAGGATTATTGTGAGTTCGAGACCAGCCTAGGCTACAAAGTGAGCTCAAGGCCAGCCTGAACTGCACAGCGAGACCCTGTCTCAAAAAGACAAAAAAAATTCAGTATTGTGACAGCCAATCACTAAGACAAGCAAGGGCCTTTATCTTTCTCAAAAATAAAATGGAAAAAATAGGAAGGGCTGGGGTTGTACACTTGGGTTCGATTCACACACACACACACACACACACACACACACACCTTGCTCACCTGCTTATCTCAGGGATGAGACGAAGAGACGAGATTTCAGAGGGGTTTTGCTTAATGAGGGCTCCTGGATTTAGAGAACTGTGTTTCCACACTGAGTTCTCACAGAGCCCTGGAGATGGGCCAGAACCAGCTCCTGTGCCCAGCTCCTTCCCCATCTCACAAACTGAGCCTCAAGCCTGGGTGCTGCTCCTACAGGGCAGCAGGTCATCACAGGCCCAGCTGCAGGCAGGGGGAGCAGGTCAGGACACCACCCATAAAGCCCTGGGGGAAGAACAAGGGGCCCCTCTGCCCAGCCTCAGCATCACTGGACCACCGGGCAGCAGGAGTGGAATACAGGAACCCCCAGCCCCTTCATCGCCCCGGGACATACCGGGGATGTACAAAGGCCGGGCATTTAGCTGAAGATGTTAAGAGGTGAAGAGCTGGTTTAATATCGAGGAGGATGGGGACAGACACCCGGACTCACCTTCCAGTGCTCTCCGCAGAGCTCAAACACAAACGGGCTGCTGTGTCTGGCCCCAGCCTTGGCCTGTGAGCTCTGCCTGGTCAGGGAGGCCCGCTCCATCCTTTCCAGAAGCCGCGTGCTGGTGTCCACAAAGCCATTCTTGCAGTACTGAGCCTGGGGGATGCCCTTCCTCCGGCACTCGGCCACGAAGTTCCACTCTTCCTTTATCCTGGGATGGGCAGGGAGCCACGGTTAGTCTCCCGGGCCGGCCACCACCTGCCTAGCCCTGCTCCTGCCTCCTGTCCCTGTACGCAGGCGAAGCCCAGTTCTCTGCATGGGTCCCAGTTCCCCTCACTTAGGAAACAGAGGGGCTGAGTTAGAGGGAGTGTCTGGCTGAAATTACTACCAAAGCCACCAAGCATCTGACTATCACGGTTTCCTGCGAAGTGATGTCACACCATTCTGTCTGCCGAGACCCCTGTGTCCGAGTGCTGCAGGGCTGGCTCCCCAGTCTGTGTGGACTTTTGGCTCTAAGGAAACCACCACTTAGTTGTTACCAGGGTTTCCTCCTTGCCACAAAGCTGAAGGAGGGGAGGAGGAACATTTGGAATATATATATTCTGATTCCAATATTTGTTCACATTCGTATATATTTACTTTCTTTCTTTCTTTTTTTTTTTTTTTACCGGTACTGAGGATCGAACTCATGGGCAGGTGCTTATGCGGCTGAGCCAAATCCTCAGCCCCCATATATATTTACTTTCATTCGGGAGTTTTTTATCTGGTTGGTTTGGCTTTTGGTTTTGAGACAGTGTCTCGCTATATACCCCAGGCTGGCCTTGAACTCACAGCAACCCTCCTGCCTCAGCCTCCCCAGTGCTGGGGTTACAGGCATGTACCACCACACTGGTGTGCTTTTTGGTTTTTCTCCTGACAGCACGGGCAGGCCAGGTACCCAGGTCTCAATCCCAGGGAGCCAAGTGGAGGAGGAGCTCAGGGCCTGAGCCCCCACTCACAGGACCCAGCCACAGGACCCAGCCATGCCTGACATTCAGCGCCTCCCCAGTGGGCGGCCCCACTGCGCCCCATCCAACCCTCACACTGTGTCATTTCCAGCCAGGCCACCGAGCGTCTCTTACTTTTCCAGCGCACTCTTCTCCAGCCGCTCTGCCTCCTTCCTCTGCCAGGCTTTGTGCTTCTTGACTCGGGTTTCCCACAAGGCTCTGACCACAGAGATGTCAAACACCACCACCTTGTGCCCCATTTTGGAAGCACGAAATTACCTCTGTTTGGGAAAACACACATCTGTCAGCTCCCTGCACACCCAGCACACCAAGAGCCGCTGTCCCTGTTGCTGTTGGTAGTTTTTGAGGCAAGGTCTCATTCTATAGCCCAGGCTGGCCTCAAACTCACAGTGATCCTCCTGCCTCAGCTTCCCAAGAGCTGGGAGGTGACCAGCTGGCCTAAAAGCTTTAACGGGATCTTTGAAGTAGACATGGACCCACTGCCTCAGGTCACCTCTTGCTTTGTTCCAGGTAGCAGCCTGCTAAGGTCCTCGGGGTTTGATCCTAGGGCCCCCTGCATCCAGGCACCAGGAGCAACACTAGCCTGGGGTCTGCTTCCCTGGCCTCCCCAGCCCTCCACTGAATTCGAGGGCCCCAGAGCCCCCTGGACCTTCCTCAGCCTCAGGGCTGCTCCTTCCTGTTCCTGGATTTAGAGAGTGCTTGTCTCTCTCAAGGGTAACAACAAGCTGGGGGGTCGCAGTGCACGCACAACTTGCTGAAATGGAACAGGATTGACTTCTCAGTTGGGTTAAACCTCAGTAAGGTTTGTGGGGGGCTGGTGCAGTTCATGGCAAAGCTGATGCTTCGCATGCCCAAGGCCCCCAAATGACCACAGACAACACTAGGGCAGAATAATCCAGAGAACCGCCTCTAAGTTCATAGAGATTTCTTCTAAATGCACGAGGGCACTTTCCTTCCCTCCCTCAGGACAGAGGGGCCATAGCCGCAGGTAACGCAGTGAAAGGTGGCCCAGAACCCCCTGGGTACCTCCCACTCAGGACCCATGCCAGCACAGTGCCCACAGCACAGACCCTCACAAGCTGTCCGTTCAGCTTACCCAGCCCTCTGGGCTCAAGCATGGTGGACTGGGCCTGTCTCGACCCCCACACTTTAGTGGGAGCTTAGAGCTGATCATTCTGTTATGGTTTATAGCTAGGGGTCCCCCCAAAGCTTCATATACTCACAGGTGGGGCCTCAGGTGACTGGGGTAATGATATAACACTCACCGTGGATTAGGCCACAGATGAGATCTTAGCCAAAAGTGATACTGGGAGACAAAGCCTGGTTAGAGGAGGTGGCCACTGGGGGCCTAGTCTGTCCCTATTCCTCCCTTGGTCCCTCTGTGTATCTGTCCACCATGCCACAAGCTGTTTCTCCGCTGCCAGGCCCCTCTGCCATGCCACCCTGCCTTCAGAGCCAGCCGACAGCTCAGCAGACTGATAACTCTACAGCCAAAATAAGGCTTTCGTCCCCAACTGTGGTTGGGGGTTGTGTCTCAGGCAGGAGAAAGCAGCTGAGACATATCTCTGTGATCAGTTTCACCCGCAGAATCATGGAAGGCTCAGAAAACTGTTGACTGGGATACAGCTCCCAGCTAGGAAGCTGAGGCAGGAGGACTGCAAATCAGAGCCCAGGCTGAACAATTTAGCAATAGAGTAAGAGCCTATCTCAAAATAAAAAATAAGTAAGAGCGGGGATGTGGCTCAGTGCAAAGGCCCTGGGTTCAATCCCAAGTACCACACATAAACAAGCACTTTCAGGACATCTTGATAGCACATTTTAAATGTCTTTCCATAAAAATAAGAGGTATAGAAGTGATGCTTATGTCATTCACTTTAATTTTTCTATATTACATGCATGTCAAAACCGCCCCTTGTAGCTTAAAACATATGTAACTATGACCTGGCAACTAAAAATATTCATTCTGAAACTTAAAATTTTTTAATAAAGATGTAAAAAAGAAAGGAAGTTTCCCTGCCCTCCCTCACCAGTGGATCCTCTGAGGCTGGGCGTGGATTAGGGGTTTATTCTATTCTGGGAGCATGGGCATCCCCTATCGGCTCCCTTTGTGGAAGTCCTGGGCTTTTCTACAAGCACGCTTGCGCTGGGTTCTGGATCTCAACCAACCTGAGCCCAGGCTGGGACGCGGAAGAGGCAGAGGGGGAAAAGTTCCTCTTCCGTGACCCTTGGAATTCTGAAGCCCTTCCCTTCTTGCTATTGCTACATTCCCACTACTGTAACAAAGGACCTGAGATAATCAGTTTAAAAAGCAGAAAAGGGAGCCAGGCTGATAACAAACACACCTGTTATCCCAGCGCTTGGGAGGCTGAGGTAGGAGGATCAGCATGAATCCAAGGCCAGCCTGAACTGCACAGTGAGACCCTGTCTCCAAAATAAAACAAACCCAAGAAAGAAAGAAATGTTAACAGTGGTTGAATCTAGGAGGGGAATCTATATAGGAGTACCATGTAGTTTTTTTGACTTTCTATATGCTTTTCTATAATAAAAAGAAGTGGTTTGGAAATTTTCTACCAATCAATCAATAAATAAACATTGATTATGCCAACAAAAAACAGCATCATCTCTCTGATAAGGCCCAGGCAGTGTGTGAAACTTGAACCCAGAGGCCCTGACAGTTTCACACAAGACTATGATTTGGGGCTGCTCTCGTGGCCTGGGGGGAAGCCCACACCCTGGCTTCTGGCACAGCTGAGACCAGGCTCTGTGCCTCAACTCAGGGAGCTCCAGGTGGATCAGGACTGAAGCCCGGGCCTTGGCTGTGCGTGGGGTTCTGTTTGCAAACTCGAGTAACATAAACGAGAGAGACCTGGAGGCTCCAGGGACAGGAGCTGACGCCCATGTTTGCAGGGATTTACACGTAATGCTCAGCGGTCACACTCCTAAGTGCCGGGTACAGCCCTGGCATTCTGTGCAGGCCAAGGCTGACCATGGCTCTCTGGACAGCTGGACAAGCTCACCTTGATCTGAGGACTTAACAGCTCCATGAGTCGGTGCTGGGCTGGGAAAACAGCTTTACTTTGTTGGTGTTGGTTTGGTTTGGTTTTTGGAGACAAGGTCTCACTGTGTAGTTCAGGCTGGCCTCAAACTTGGGGTGATCCTCCTGCCTCAGCCTCCCAAGTGCTGGGATGTTGGGGTGTGCCACCATGCCTAGCAGTTTGGGGGAGCTCCTATCAAATTTACAAAGCTAATCTCTTCTTTGTAGAATGAGCTCCCATCTTCAAGGTGACTGTGTAACATATGATTCCTAAGCATGAACTTTCTCTGAGACGATAGAAATGTCACCATAGCCTAGGGCGGCAAAGCACAAAAGAGAAATGGACCTCTCCAGGGAGTCCAGAGGCTCTTAGGGGGAAGAAACTGCGTCCAAGAGAGTTCCCTCTAGCAGCACAAGTGCAAGACTTCACCCAGGGACCCTGACGGCAAAGACGTACCCCGAGGCTGAGTCCATCCTAGCCGGCCTGGGGCACCAGGGATACTTGCATCCCAGCAGCTGCCACAGCAACGCTGGGTGACAATGTGAGATCTCCTGACCACACTCAGATTCCCACCCCCCCAAAATAGCAATGAGCAGATTTTCCAGCAGAGGGTGAGAAGGTAAACCAAGAAGCCTCTTAGACTCTGTGGGCCGACAGCAGTGTCACAGGGCCAAGGACGTGTGGGGTGACCTCTTGCCCACCCTGCCCACGTGCCTTGGCAAGGCTATGGCAGGGTGAGCAGGTGTCAGGCCCCTCGTCACCCGCCAGGGACATTGAGAGGCAGCCCTGCAGGCCGGGAGGGCAGCCTCTGGGGTGGATGGGACACCACCTGCTCCCTGCCCTGTGACCTCCAAGTGTGCGACCTGTGTCCTCCTCACCTGCAGTCCTCTTGAGTTGGATGCCTGGCTGCAGGCCAGGTCCACGCTCAGCCCAACTCCTGAGCCAAGATCCTGAGCCAAGCCACCCAGTGGTTGTCAGCAAAGGAGTCTGCAACATGTAAATGCCAACCAGCGTTGACAGGTGGTGGGAACGGAGCGGGGGCAGGCCAGCTGGGTCCTGTGGTGCACACCTGTCACCCCAGCACCCTGGGAGGCTGAGGCAGGAGGACTGTAAATTCAAGCCTGCCCTGGGCAGCTTAGCAACTTAGTGAGACCCTGTCTCAAAATTTAAAAATATATATATATATATAAATATATATATTTTTTTTGGGGGGGGAATCTAGCTTAATGTAGAAGTCCTGGGTTCAATCCTCAGTAATAAAAAAGGAGAAAAATAAAATAAAATAGAGAGGGAGGTACGTCAGTGTGGCCTCAAGCCAGCTCCAGGAGCATGGACAGGGGCATCAGGAAGGCTGAGGCAGGAGGATCATTGCAAATTCAAGACCAGCCTGGGCTACAAAGTGAGCTCAAGGCCAGCCCAAACTGCATACCCAGTGCCTACGGTTTGCTGCTCCTTGCTTTAAAGGGCAGGAGAGGAAAAAAGAGGGTGCTTTGGAGCATGCGTTGGCCTTAAGCTATACCCACAAATTCTTCCCATTCTCCCTCCAGAGAGGCCGTGCCTGCTCCTCAGCCCCTTGATGCAGCTGGACTTCTTGACACACATCTGATGAACCACACGCAGTGACACAGGTGACCTGTGTCCCTAGACTAGCACCCAAAGGCGCTGTCTGTTGTCCTCTCCAGTGGCTCTGAGGGAAGCCCTGGGGAACTTCACGTAGCAGCAAAGAGAGTGGATAGTAAAATAAGAGGCACTTTTTAAAAGTTAGTGCCAACCCACAGCAATGCCAGCGTCCAAATCCATGCCACTCAGCCACAGACAAGCCTGGTCTGCTGTCCTCACCTAAGGCACAGGCTATCTGCTAGCACAATCTGGAAGTCCCTCCCTGGGCTGGTCCCCTCTGCCACCTGCTATGCAGGGGACACCCATTCCCATTGCCCTTACCTCTACCCACTGGGCCTGGGGGCCATGTATGTCTCACACTGCTGAGTGTCACACTCACAGCCTAGCGGGTCACGGGAGTCCCACTTGAGAGTGACAGTTGCAGAGCAAGGTCACATCACCACCTGACGCAAATCTGAGACCTCCATGTGGGATGAGCCTGCCCCACATCCCCACATCCCAAGCACCTTGAAAAATAAAGTGTGATTTTAAAAGTCCAGGGACCACAGCTGCCCCGTCCACCTCACTCACCGGAGTAACTTTTAGCACCCTGTGTGTGACCCCCTGGCTCTTCCCAAAGTGAAGGTGACCGTGAAAGGCCAACATTCTGAACTGATCTAGGACACCGAGGCAGCCAGGTCACCTCCGGGCCCTGGGGATCAAGGCCTCTGAGCGCTGCAGAGCCCGGGCAGGGTGGGAGGCTTAAGGGGCGCTCACAGCAACACGCAAATTCTCATGCATGTAAGAGCCACCGTTTATCACCCGAGCAGCCACCCTGGAGGCCTAAACCTGGGCTCATGGCCAGCCCTCTGCACCCTGAGGGGGTTGCACAGCCCAGGGGAGATGCCTCCTGTAGAGAGGACACTGAGGCCAGGTGAGAAGCCCGGGGCAAGGCTGAGGCTCCTGAAACCCAGTGTGGCCAGGGCCACTGCAGGGGGGAGGGGGCTGAAAGCCACACCCCTGCCTGGGACTGAGCAGCAGGGGACCAGGAAGCCAGACAGCAGGACGCCCCTGGCCCTGGAGCATCACACAGTCACCTCGGAACCTGTCACAGCACCGCCCTTCAGAGCCAGAGCTGGAGGGGTGACTGTGAATGTAGTCCCCTAGCACCGAGCCGGTCCCCTTGAAGCCAGAGGTGGGGGAGGGGACGCAGTCATGCCCCCAGTCCTGTCCCATCATGTCACATGACAGCCGGGCTGGGGCAGCTCAGGGACCCCGAGTGGAGGACTGGGGGACCCTGAGGACCCCCAAAGTCCAGCATCTGTGCGCCTTTCTCCTGAGGCTGGGAGGGACCCAGCAGGAGACACAGGGTGGGTTCTTTGGGTGGTTGGTTCTTCCTTCCTCCCTGCTGGAGTCTTGGAGGTGGGGAGACCACGGCCATCGATAGGCTGGGCCCAGCCGGGACTGTGGGGCCGCCAGCTGCCAAGGGTGACTCAGAGATTCCCTCCTCCTCATCACAGGGACACGTGGGCACAGGGCTCACCAGATCCTGAGTCACAGCTCATTTGTGGCACAGGGGCACCGGGCTGGTGATTTGTTAAGGTCACCGTGGTGCCCTGGGGAGCAGGAATTAGGAGGCCTGGTCTGCGTCAGGGTCCCCTGGCCCTGGATGGAGGCCCCAGACACAGGATGGAACCGAAGTGAGCTGGGAGCACCCTGGAGGGCTCAGAGGCCCATTGTTCAAAGAAAGGAAACTAAGGCCAGCCAGGTGCTTATGCTGTCACCCCAGAGCTGGGGAGACTGAGGCAAGAGGATCGCAGGTTTGAGCCCAGTCTGGGCAAATTAGCGAGACCGTCTCCAAGTAATGAAACAGAGGCGAATTGTTTGGGGACAGGAGGGGACCCGTGGACATCGGCAGCTGCCCCGAGAACGCGGCAGGCAGATCTCCTCTGGGCCTCCCACCACCCCTCCCTTGCACCTGCGGCTGCGAGCAGCCCCGCCTGGTGTCATCACACCCTCCCACCCGGCCCTGCGCCCCGCACCGGTTGGGGACCGAGTTCTGGGACCCGCGGTCCTCCGAGCCAGCGCAGTTCTCCCCTGGGTCCGTAGGGGGTCCCGACGCGGAGTCCACGCCCCTCGGACTCCCGCCCGGGGCCCCCGCACCGCTCACCTCCCCGGCCGCAGCCCGATCCGTCTACACCACGCAGCGACCCGCAGAGGTGCCGCCGGTCCGGCCTGTGCTCAGCGGCTATATTTGTAAGCGGAGAACCCGATCCCGGGACACCTTCTACGCCTCCCGCGTGACTCAGCCGGGGACAACACGGGGAGGGGGCCGCGCGCGCCCCGACATCCAGGTCACCGGGCCAGGCCAGTCCACCTGGAAACCTGGGCCACCGGCCAGCGTCGGGACAGAGGAGGGAAAAGGCTGGAGACCAAGCGGAAAATGGGACTAGAAAACTGCGGAAAAAGCAAGGCCGTTCTCCCAGCGCCCGGGAGGACGAGGCAGGAGGGTTGCCCGACTTCAAGGCCGGCCTGCACTTCCCAGCCGGGCCTTTGATAGAATTTTGGCGCGGCTGGAAAGATAAGAAGTATGAAATATAAATGACCTTTATTTTAAGAATTCGGGGAGAGACCCCCTAACCCTTCAGGTCTCCGGGCGCTGAGATTCTCTCAGTCAGACACGTGGAGTAGGGGCATAGGTGCAGCTTAGGCTTGGGGTGGAGCCCAAGGGGCATTAGTGATGCACAGGTAGCCCACTGCTATTCATTTGGCGCCATGGGTAAATTCCTGGGGGTGGGGAAGGAACGGTTCCGCCTCCAAGCTTTTCACCAGCTACAGTGTCCCAAATGGGGCAAAATTCTTTCAGCCTTGACTAAAAAAAAAAAAAAAAAGAAAAAAAAAGCCATAGAACCCAGGAAGTGGGGAGGCTTCCCAGAAGGTATATGAGGTCTTGATTTCATCTTTATACTTTTTAATTTTCTAACATATGAATTGAGTGGATTTGGGGAGGGGTGCTTTTGTGTTTTTTTGCACTGGGCGTTGAACTTATGACCTCTTGCTTGCCAGGCAGCTGCTTATGGTGCTGAGTTAAATCCCCTGCCCTTGGATTAAGAGTGTTTTGCTTCATTTTGTGGAACTGGAGATGAACCCAGAGCATTCCAGCGGAGCCACAACCTCCAGCCTCTTTTTCTCTTTTTTTGAGACATCTGAGTTTGAACTCTCCCCACCCTCCTGCTTTAGCCTCCCGGTGTGCTAGGGTCACAGGCCTGCACCCAGCACCCGAATACTTTTAGGTTGTGTCAGACAGGTCACTGGCTGCCTAACTGTCCTGCTGGTAGCCATCACTGCCTCAATGGGACCTGTGACTGTGGATGTGACCCTCAGCCAGGAGCCAGCTCCCAGCCGCTCTCCTTCCTGTGCAGGGCCACAGCTCCCGATATCCCCATGGGTACATGTGTGCAGTGGTTTTATCTGGCTTCTCTTAGTGTGTATTAGTTACCCAGAGTGGTGTAACTGTGGCCGGGCCAGAGGCTTGATCACTCTGAGGCCTCCTGCACCACTTTGCCTGCCCCTCCCCCAGCCCCCTCCTTCTGAGTCTCCCTTCTACATAAAACGTTTTCTACTTATTCATAGCTTATTTATATATATAATTTCTTTTTTTTTTTGTCTTTTTGAGACAGGGTCTCGCTATGCAGTTCAGGCTGGGCTTGAGCTCACTTTATCGTCCAAGTTGGTCTCAAATTTACAACAATCCCCCTGCCTCAGCCTCCTGAGTGCTGGGATGACAGGTCTGCACCTCCATGACTGGCTTAAACTGTTTTAAATTGTATGCTAAATTGTTAGCTGTGCTCGAATCTTTGCAACGATATTAACTCTTACCTATAAAGTGTTGTGTGCTTGCTTATTTGAGTAGAATCTTAGAATTGCGTCCCTGTCTTATTTCTGATCCTTCTATCAGTGCCTGCCTGCAGCACTCTGGCTGTAAGCCACCTTGGGGAGGGGTCCGTGTGCATAACACACCTTGGTCCTTTTTTTAACTCCTTTCCCCTCCCCATTTTCCAACTTGATATTATTAGTAACTGGTGTTTAATTTTCCTTTTGTTTCATTTTTCCTGATTTTCTGAACCAAAGAACCAACCTTAGAAGGCAGTTTCAGGTCAGGACTGTTTCAGTTTTCAAGAAACCCAAATATTCCAAAGCTTAATCATCTTTCGGAGGAAACCTTATCCCAGGAACTAATTTAAAAGCCCACAGGACCTCTTTGTGACACTTACATGGGACAGATGAGGCCCAGACTCTGGACTACAATGTGCACCTCAAAAAGATGGAGAGATTTAGCCAATAAAAATTAAATTTGAATTCCAGGAAAAAATTAACATTTTTGCAAAAGTATGCCTCAAATATTGCCAGGTGACATTTGTCCTGAAAATGTAGTTGGTAGGAATCAGAAATTTAGATAAAACCGGTCCTGGATTTTACCTGGTAACCTGCTCCTGGCCATGCATGGTCTCACTACTACACAAAAAGGGTGTTGAGCGGTGTCTGCAATTAGCACAGGTGGCTAGGGGGACCCAGGAAGGGCTCCTCGCTTGCTGGCACGGCCTGGGGCTCCCCTCTGCCGGGGTGGAGGGTGGATCCTGGCTAGGGGTCCGGGGATCTGTTTTCACATGAGCCATGATGAACCCATTCACTGCCAGGAAGATGAACCAGGAAGTTCTCAGACACAAAATGTGACCCGATGAGGTGGCCCAGGGCTATCACCCCAGCTACTTGGGAGGTGAGGCAGGAGGATCTCAAGTTTGAGCCCAGCCTAAGCAACTTAGTGAGACCCTGCTGCCCCAAAATAAAAGTAAAATAAAGATTACAGGCTGGGGATGTACCAGGTTCAATTCCCAGTACCAATAAATTATAAACCTGCAAAATGTGCTTCTACACCAGTAAAGCACTGTCTGACTAGTAAGCTCACCGTGGACAGATCACTGGCAAGGCGTCTCCAAAACACTGCACAGTTTCTGAGCGCCCAGGCTGCAGTGTAGGCTCAGCCCTTAGAGGTGCAGTTTGGCTCCCGCTGGGCTCGGCCTCTGTGCACAGGTGGGCTTCTCTGCGGAGTGCACGCATCACTAACCCCACATCAAGACTGAGCATTGTGGTGCACACACCTGTAATCCCAACATTTGGGAGGCTGAGGTAGGAAGATCAAATGTTTGAGGCTAGCCTGGGTAACAGTGACCTGTGGAGTCAGGCAAGGTGGTGCATGCCTGTTATCCCAGCTCTTGGGAGACTGAGGCAGGAGGATTACATGAGTTCGAGGCCACCCTGGGCTATATAGTGAGGCCCTGTCTCAAAAAAAAAAAACACCTAATAAATTTTTTTAAACTAATAAATTTTTAAAATAAAAAGGGCAAAAGATGAGCATGGTGTCCCAGGCTGGAGAGGCAGCTCTGTGGCAGAGCAGCTGCCAAGGGGTGGGAGATCCTGGGTCCCAGCCCCAGCACCACCAAGAGCAAAGGGAAACAAAAATAAATACCCCTGGGTGCCCAGCAAGACCAGTCTCCATCAAAGAAAGAGGAAGACCCTAAATCTCAAAAGAAAAACAAGGTAGCTTGCAGTTGGCAGACCCGCCTTACAAGCACTGTTGGAATGTAGCTTTTAGAGCTGAGAAAGGAAAAAGCACACAAAGAAAGAAAGAGAGCACGGCAGAGGGACCCATGCCCGCAGCTGTAAACCACAGCAGGTACGCGTGCTTGTTTCTAACCTTTTCCTTCGGTTACCCAATTTTTAAAATTTTTTTCTTTTTTGGTACCAGGAATTGAATTCAGAACCTTTCGCTTGCCAGGCAGAGGCTCACGTGGCTGATCTCTATCCCCAGCCCTTTTTTCCTTTTTTTAGACATTGATCAGTTTCTCTGTGTAACCCTGGCTGGCCTTCCTGCCTCAGCCTCCCAGAATATTGGGATTACAGGTGTGAACCACCACACTCGGCTTCCTATCTGATTTTAAAGACAGCTGAATAAGCCAATGATTATTTAATTGTGGTCATTTATTAAAAATGTATGATCACCCAGAGTTAAACAGGAAAAAAAAATGTAATTTATGGGGCTGGGATTTAGCTGAGCGGCATAAGCACCTGCCTTGCAAGCAGGCGGTCCTGAGTTCAATCCCCGGTACCGATAAAAAGTTTTAAAAAAATTTTTTTAATGTAATTGATAAGATAAAAGGAAAACAAAATAATATTATATTGGGAGCAAAGGTTTTATATGTTATCAAAATTGACATGAACTAAATTATCTCAAGTCAAAGCACCAATTGCAATCCCCAGGATGATCACTAAAAAAGCAAAAAATAGAATCTTTTAAAAATAAAGTAAGTAAATAAAAATAAATAAATAATTTGAAAATAATAATAAAAATACAGTAAAATAGGGCCCAGGGATGTGGCTCAATAGTACAGTGCCTGTCTGGCAAGTGTGAGCCCCTGAGTTCAGTTCTTGGTATCAAATAAATAAATGAAGTAAAATAAACAGCATTAAAATTAAAATGATTCACTAGAAAATGTGGACCCACCAATAAGAATCAAGTAGGAGAGATTAACACATGTAGAATACAAATAAAATAGAGATATAAATCCTTATGGATGATTACATTAAACATAAATGGACCAAACTCTCCAATCAGAAAGAGACTGGCAGAACACTTTTCTAAGAGAAAAGGTCTTGAGCCACATTATGCTCGTGCACAGCAGTAATCCCAGGTCTCAGGGGCTGGGGTACGAGGATGACACTGGAGGCCAGCCCGAGCTACATAGCAAGTCATTCAAACAGACTGACAGTGTACAAGTTGTGCATGGTAGGTAGCACATACTATAACCTCAATGCTGGGGAAGCCAAGGCAGGAGGATCACAAATCCAAGGTCAGCCTAGGCTATACACAGAAAGACCGACCCTCTCACAGAAAAACAGAAATATGGGATGGGGTAAAAACGACCAAGATTCAGTATGTGTATGTACCAAATGCCCAAGATGAGTGTAATTATTATGTATCACAAATACGTACTACCAATAAAGTATATTTTAAAAGAAAAATTAAAAAGTTATGTGGAACTATAAAAGGCCAAGAACAGCCAAGATAATCTTGATTATCAAGAAAAAAGAGCAGACTTCGTAGAACAAGTACCAAGAGCCATTAAAAGGTTACAACAATGGAGACAGGCTTGTACGGTAAAAGGCAGAGAAGCAGTGGAACATTTGGACACAGGACGAATTTTTTTTTTTTTTTTGGTACTGAGAATCGAACTCAGGACCTCGAACTGTGCCACTGAGCTATATCCCCAGCCCCTACTGAACATGGAAACAGAGAGAAACAGGCCCAGGAGTGTAGCAACAATCAGTCCCTGAAGAAAAGGGGACAGTCTCTTCAATAAATGGTGCAGAATCTTTGTGAGATACATGGTAGATTATTACATAGTGGTAAAAACCAGCAGAGGTCTACCGACCATGAGAATGTCTCTCAACTGAGCAAACAGAAATAAAAGCACGCATGCATTTGTAATTAGGTGAAGTTCAAAGGCTCAGAAAGACCAACTTAGGATGCTAGAAATCAGAAACGTGGGAGGAGACTGGTTATAAAGAGACCAGGGCAGACCTCAGGGGTGCAACATACTCACCTGGGGACGGTTTTTCAGCTTGGGACCCTCATTAATTGTACACTTGATTTTAGTATGGTTGAGACCAGATGTTGCTATGTAGCCCAGGAGAGCCTTGAGCTCACTGTGGTCCAGATTGGCCTCAAACTTGCTGTTATCCTCCTGCCTCA